GAAAACATCAGAGAATGTGAGATTGTGCAATGAATGATTGTGTTTATTTATTTCTAGATGCCTTAAATTATAAATGTTATATCTTGTAAATGATTTCTTTTAGTTTTGTGTATAGATACTGCTTTTTAAAATCAGTAACTTATTTATATATTTGTATGTATTAAAGAAAATTGTTGCTTTGTGTGTTGTCTGTCAGTTTCATTGTCTCAGCGTTGTGTTTGGTCTCTATGGTAAATAGTTGACTGTGCTGAAAGTGTAAAACAGCAATGCTTGAGGACCAATAATAATAATAATAAATGATCAAGTAATGCTGGACAGTCACATATTCCCCCTTTTTTGTACACTTTATAGAAACAGAGTGCTGTGTGGTGTTTGTTCAGGACAGTGCTAAAAATCCAATGACAAATTGCATATGAATACACAAAGTTATTTATTCTTATTTGTGTGTTTATTGCATTTAATGTCATTTTAATAAGAATTTAGTGTTAGCACAGTGCTGCTGCTAATAGGCATCATTTTCCTTTTTAGTAATTAGTCTCGGCTCCAAAGAACCACAAGAAGGCAGCAATATCATGACTATAGTGTGACATTTAAATTCTTATCAAAACAAACTTTGTATGTGTTTTTATTTAATTATTTTTTTCATCATGAAGATGTCTAAACAGTACACGACAACGCAATTTCATTCATGCAATTAAATTTGCACATTATAATAAACATTAATTGTTCTGTTATGGAAATACATTTCTGATTAAAGTAATGAATAAAATATATTTTATGAATGCATCATAAAATATTTTACTATAAACATGAATACATTTTATTTCCTGTTGTTCACTGGTGAGCAAAAAAAAAAACGTATGTGAACTAAAATTTTAAATAAGGTGTCATTCGTTAACATATTAACATGAACGAACGAATACTACATTACACTATTTATTAATCTTCGTTAATGTTAAAAATACAGTCGTTCATTGTTTGTTCATGTTCACAGTGCATTAACTAATGTTAACAAACAAAACTTGTGATTTTAATACTGCATTAGTAAATCCTGAAATTGATATTTAAGATTAATAAATGCTGTAGAACTATTGTTCATTCTTAGTTCATGTTAACAAATGAACCTTATTGTAAAGTGTTACAAAACTTCTATTGTTCTTTTAACAATTACAATAAATATATTGTAAATACTGTATTAAAGAATTTAAATAACCCTAAACATATATAGTTTAGGGTTATTTAAAAAAACAAACAAACCACTTTTGTCAGTAAAGCACAATCTAAAATGAGTTTCATGACCAATGTTGGAAAAAAAAAAAAAAAGGTAACTCCATGCCCATTTTTCCTTTTATTTATTTGCACATATTAGACAACCAATTTTACATCTTGATATATGTTTTTAAACCAATGCACAGTATGTAAAATTCACTCATTGTGTCAAAACGCCATAAAGATTCTCAAATAAATTAAACAGCACATCAGCCCAATTTTAGTATCTACAGACAGGGCATCGCTGCTATGTTTACAAATCTATATACATGAGATATAACAAAACAGCCAACAAAGTGCGTGATAACTGTGAAATCAAAGACTCAACGAGAGAAATTAACACTGACTAGTGCTCCTATACTTGATGTTAAAGTTTGGAGTAAATGAACTGAACTTAAACCCTGTGATAAACAAAAGCTGGCTTCAGTTCCACAAACTCACCTGCAGACCCAGCAGAGGCACATCGGATAGAAATGAGGTTCATACAACCACTGACAAGTTCTGTGAGGAAGGTCACACCGCACAGAGACCGATTTACAGTCAAAGCAGTTACACGAGTGAAACAGTACTTGTGGTTTGCGTCGTGACCACTGCGGCCTGTGATCCAGACACAGTAAACATCACTTAACTGTGGGATTTTGAAGTGCAGTTTCAGAAACATACATACAAACCTTCTGAAGCCCTAAAATAGTGATTGCATCATGCAAACTGGTGACCAGTCAGCTGATGTAACGGTTAATAATAGTAATAGCCGATGTTTCCATGCTATTGAACACGTTTTCTTGGCATTCATTCCAGTAAAAACATCTGCGGACCTCCACATTTAGACCCTTTACCGAAGCTGAAAACAGTGAACGTGTAAATCAAGGCTGAGGGGACGTTCAGATCTGCCTCAGATCACACACACACGCATTGGCATCAAGCATACAGTGACGTTCACCTCAAAAGAAAATCCCTTGAACGTCTTTTAAATTGTGCGACACACTGAAACACTCACACAGAAGCTGTGGCCCGACTCAGACCTTTGTCGTTTTGCTGGCTTTAGGTGAGACCTCGTGAGAAGAACAGAGGTGGACTGAAGCTCGCGCTCACAGGAACGGACCCTCACGCCTGACATGTATCTGTCAGACACGCTCGAGGCACGTCATCTCAGTCTCTCTCGCACACACACACACTCACACAGACTCACACAATCTCTGGAGTGTCCTCTCTGTTTCCACATTGCGTCCGAGCTTGTGTGGAGGTCGCTGGGAAAGTCTCTCACACGCTGAGAGGGAGCATGCCAGGCGGAGACACGGCCCGCGGGGAAGCCATGGCCGTCAGGGCACCGGGATCCAGGCCATTCATATTCCTGTGAGGAATCAAGAAACTGAATTATGTACCGTGAACAATGTGTTACGAATAAGTATAAATCTTCAGTTAAACTGCTTGAGGGTTGGGTGATATGATCCATTTTTAACTGACATATGCATCACTTAACCATGTCAGTGATAACAGTAATTAGGCTTGTTGTCACTAAACCAAATTGTTATACACTGAACAAAACCTCACGTTTTATAATTCCCCAATATCACCACAGTGTTTCCCATACATTGATTTATTTGTGGTGGCCTGCCACAATATCAAAACTGACCGCCAAAAATAGATTTTCCGAAAGGCTTTGACTTCATTGAATAAACATGAGCACTGCACCTTTCAAATTGAAACCCGGTGCGGGTGCTTTTATACCACAGTATTTCTGAAGGAAACCGACTGTCTTCAGAAAATTTTGGATGTCATTTTCATTTAATCTTGCATGTAATGTCTGATAAACTAAAACAGCGTTTATGAGCGGAGCCATGCTTTGTGTACAGCCGTTACCGGGGAAACCTCAATCTCTAACCGCTCTACAAGCGCCTCCCGCTCGCTGAGAATGAATTTGCATATATATGCCGCCACTGTGGGAAACACTGCCACATAACAAATTAATAACCTGAATTAATTCTACAACTATGCCAAGTAACTCCAAGCTTGCCTGGATACACAGTATGAGAAACTTCTTGAGTACAGTATACTCATGTACAGCAATATATAGCTAATCTTCTGTCGCAAAATGTAAACAGTATTATCTCACAGCTTATAAAGTTGCATATATATCTAACTTTATCCACGTACATAAAGTACACTCATGTAAAGTGATACCTACTATATTACAAATCTTTCATCACACAGCTCTTCATACAAGGTTGAATATATAATCGTGTCCAACTTTACCTGCATACATACAGTACTCTTGCTTAGAGTGATAATATGTAGATTGTATATTGTTGCAAAATGTAAACTGTATTAACACACAGATGTAATTTGCTTAATGAAACCACATGGTATGAAGATATTAAAGGGATAGTTCACTCAAAAAGGAAAATTGTCAAGATATTGATAAACTGCTGCTGGTAGCCATTGACTTCCATGGTATTCTTTTCATACCATGGAAATCAAAGGCGACTGTCAACTGTTAGGTTACCAACATTATTCAGAAGATCTTCTTTTGTGTTCAACAGAAGAAAGAAACATATAGGTCTAGAACTTCTTGAGGGTGAGTAAATGACAAAAACTAAATTTTTGGGTGAACAATCCCTTTAAAGCAGCACTATGTAACTTTTTCTGTGTTCAAAATTTGCAAAATGTATATAATGAGCGAGTACATCATGAATTCATCTTCCAAACCGCATTTTTGTCTTATTCCGAATCACTACGGTACCCTTATAATAAGTACTTATATTTGGACTATTGTAGCCTGGTCGGGTCGTCACCGCTGCGGAGTAAAATTACACTACAAACATACACCTTTGTTTACTTCTGTGTGTTGCTCGGCAACCACTTTGTTGGAACCACAACTGATTCTGAGGATCTACATTGTTTGGTGGAAGAATACGTTTTTTATTAATATAATTACACATTATTTGCTCTGTTTTATTTTGTGAAAACTTACTACGTATATGCAATAACAGTTTTATAAAAGCAATAAGTCCCGTGAAGCCGTGGTTTACAGTGAATTTATAACAGCTAAGGGACGTTGTTATAAATGGGACTAGAGGTTGTCGAGACATTAAACATCATCATGTAAACTCATATTTACAGCCTTGTTATGTTTATAATCATGCTCTTGGAAACCTTTCTAACTCAAAAGTTTTGGTAAAAATGTGTTTTTTTTTTTTCAATAAAGAGTGAAAGTTATCTGAAGCTGAATCTTGGTGACGTTAAAGTCATGTGACCGAGGTGTAGTTTTACTTATAGCCTACATTTAGCGTTTTACTTCTGCCATTTTTATTAAGGCTCCAAAATTCTTAAATGTTTTGATCTGTTGTAAAGATTGTAGTTCTTTACAAAACATGTAAGAATCATAAGCTTTTGCTGGTTAAAGAGCTTATTTTCTGCAATAATCCAAGAGAAAAATCCTATTGGGTTTTTGTTGAGAGAACCAGGATGATGGCAAACTAAAAAAAAAATGCTCGACTTCCATTGTAAGTATATTAATGTACACGCACACCAACTTTTTTTTTGAAAGTGTTTATAGTCACCATGAAATCAAAATGGACAATTATTATTTTTTATGGAATATTGTAGGGATTCTTATAAATTATTTATCTGTGCACATCCCTTTTTTTGTGCTCATGTACTGTCCAAAAGCTAGACTAATTTCAATAACTCCCCTTCAGTAACATGTCTCACATGAAACAATCACCCATTTAGTTTGAAGTGGCCACTTCTACACCGCAATCAATTCCCAATGGACAAATTGAAGTCGTGCCATACATTTCTCTGCCTCATTCAATAAGCCGTTTCACGCCATAATAGTGAAGAAATGTCAGTCAAAATCTCTGCTTCATGTCAAATTAAAAAATGGGGAATGTCAGCTATATTCCTTTAATGGCAATGCTGTGAAATGAAATGAAGTTTACCTCTAGCTTCATCTTTCAGCCTCTGCACAGACACCAGCAAAGACTCCTTCTCGTCCAGTTCGCTCTCCAGGAAGGCGTTCCTCTCAATCGCCTGGTTTAGCCTCTGCTCAAAGTCCTCCAGGGATGTGATGGTGGCCCTGCTCAATCCAGGTTATCGTTTTAAAAATGTTGACCTCTTTAGCATGACACTTGCACCATGTATTTTGGCCTGCGTTTGTTGGGCATTGGTGACACGTAGGCTAGTCTTGACAAAAAGTAGTCTAGCAATTTAGGAACTCAGGGCCAAGTTAGTTTAGAATGGAAATATGATCCTGTCTCGTACCTCTTAGCTCTCTCCAGGTCGTCGTTGGCCTGCTCCAGCTCCCTGACATATTTGTGCAGCTGCTCCTTGATGCCACGTGTTTGGACCAGGTCGTCCTCCAGCATGGCGATCTGCTTATAGCTCTGAGCGTACTGCTGCTCCAGTTTCTCCTGCAGTCAGGGACACAGGGGAGACACAGTCTGAGTCACCATCAGAAACAACCAGAACTTTCTGCCAACGGCGGGTGAGAAAATGTATCAGCTATAAATACATATTTCTTTACTAAGGATTGCGCAGTCCTATTCAGAAAGGACTATTTTTATCCTTGTGTGTTCAAGTACCAAACATTAAAAAAAATTAAGAGTCAAAACCATAACAAGACCACATGACTGTAACGCCCACATCCAGACATCCCCACCTTAATAACTAGAGAGCCCAATCCTATCCAAATTAGAGACGTTTTGGGTCAAGCTCAAAGCTCATTTGGAAAACCAGTTCCATCCGAATACTTATGGCAATGGATTTATTTTTTTCTCACAGTGGCACAATATAGTGACAAGTTGGTTTCAGTTTTTTAAAGGGGTCATATGATGCGATTTCAAGTTTTCCTTTCTCTTTGAAGTGTTACAAGCTCTTGGTGCATAAAGAAGATCTGTAAAGTTGTAAAAATAAATAAATAAAATACACCACCAGTTTGGGTCAGCAAGATCTAATTTTTTTTTTAATAAAAATCAGTAATATTGTGAAATATCATTACAATTTGAAATAACGCCTTTCTCAAAAACAAAATCTTACCGACTCCAAATTTTTGAATGGCAAAGCATCTAAGGCTGCGTTTACACTGGCACAAAAAAATCCGATCTTTCGCTAAAAAATCGGACATGGTCAAAAGATCGGATCTGTGCATTAAGACTTGCAGTGTAAACGCAGCCTATGTATAAACTATGTTTTGACCTTTTCCTAATGAGGTTGCTTACATCTTTAAGACTTCATGTTCTGTCAAGTGAGTTGAAGGGGCTCATGTGTGTGCCTGTTTCCAGGAAAGCATGTTTTGCTAGCATGTTCAGCAGGAAATTCCTGGGATTTGAGATCTTCCTGTGCTCCACCAAAGCTCTGGGGCAGTAAAACCACAGCTCAGGAGGAGCATGTGCACGTGCTGAAAGTGTGTAGGAGTTCAGAGCGGCACAGACAGAGACCACACCAGCAGACACACGGTCAGCATTTGAGCCAGCACCAACTGTGAGCTCTGTTTTAGATCAGAGACACTCTCAGGCCACTTTTGGTCAAGTCAAAAACACGGCTTGAGCTTTAGAATAGAGAAGGTTACGCAGACGATTCACATACTAGCATTTTGGGTCTGAAACTACACAAAATAATCACATAAACCAACTGAAACTTTAAAAAGACATCAAGCCTACCTACAATGTAACCAGCAGCACAACATAAGGTTTCAAACATGACACATTTCAATAAAAGAGACTGCAAGACACTAAACACAACAGCAGGAGCTATGGAGCATCTTCTCAGGTTAACAGAGGGTCTCTTTTGTCAAGGGCAGTGAAAGGCTCTCTGTGTGTTGTGGCATGTTCTCCGTTTTTCCATGACAAAAAGTGCTGCAGTCATATTTACAGCCATTCATCACCCGCGGGGCTTGTGATTGTAGGTATGAACACCGAAACAACCATTGTCTCAGCTAGCCAAAGTTTAACTAAAATACTATGGCCAAGTTTTTAAAAGCCAATCAGCATTGTTTGTCTGAACATAAACGTCTGACTCCCCATGGCTTTTATGTGAAGATAAACTGCACACTGCTGTAAAAAGCTCAGCTGGTTGCTATATTTAGTAGTTAATGACTTCGGCCTACCTCTTCTTGTATTTGAGAGACAAGCACTTCCAGTAATCGATTTCCTCGTCTTTCGAGGAGAACTTCGGCATCATCATCATCTCTGTGTCCATGGTGGAGACCTGTGGAAGCAGATGGGAATTAGAGCAGTCCTGAGAGACAACCCCAGTACAGGTTGTTTAGTCCCAGTACAACCCCACAAACAGAGGGCCCATGGTGTGTGTCCTCATTTGACACGCATCCAATAACACTTTTTGTTCACTTGGCTTTCTACCAGGCTCACATGACTTACTTCATCCTTTACAAGCTCACAGTTTTACAGGTTGCAGCATTCGCTTTTGTTTATGGGGGGATTTTTACACAAGACTAATTTCATTCTAGTCCTACGAGGAAAGAGCAAATAAAGAAATAGTTCATCCAGAAATTAATATGCGGTCTTCATTTACGAGAGTCAGCCTCATGTTGTTCCAAACCTGTGTGACTTTTATTTAACTTAGAAACACAAATGAAGATGTTTTTAACCAAACCTGAGGCATTTCTGTCCCTCTCCTGAAAGCCCATTACACTAAAACTTGGAGGCTTAAAAATGTTTACAAAGATATTGTAAAAATAAGCGGTTTAAACTAGAGGTCGACCGATGTATCGGTTTTGCTGATTAATCGGCACCGATAGTTTTTTGCTGTAACTATCGGTTATCGGCAAAAATCCATGCCGATAGTTTTCCGGGTTGCGTCCGTTGCTGGAACGGCTGAGAAGGGTCTGCTGTCATTATACAGTAAGAGAGCGGCCTCTAGTGGTTGAAATCACTGACAGCACGTGCTATTTGTTTAGACATGTGTATTCACATAAATCCGGTCGGCACCGTGCATTATTTTTCACTTACTCAGTCTCTTACACACACACGCACGCGCAGAGAGAGATAGAGAGAGAACACATACAATATCCATATGTATATAATTTTAATGCTATGGCCTTTGTGTATTTATTTAAAGATGTGCATCTTTAAGCATGACTGTTGAAATGAAATGGTAACACTTTAAAATAAGAGTCCATTTGTAACATTAAGATTAATGAAAGCTGTGCAATGAAAGTATTGTTCCTTGTTACAGTGTGTTAATTTCAACATTTTTATTATTATTATTACTACTACTACTACTACTAGTATGGTTCAGTACTGTTTTTTTAATAAAGCATTATTTTAGTTTTTGTTCAGTATCCATTTTAAAAACTATTGGTTAATTAATCGGTATCGGCCAGTGTGGTGCAACCTAGCTATCGGTATCGGCAAAATCCACTATCGGTCGACCTCTAGTTTAAACGAAGCCTTCAGAAAAGACACAATCGCTTTATATGACGAACAAATTTAGTTTAACCTGTGTCTCTCCAGTATCTTTGAATTAACTGCTGGATTTATATGGATTACATTTGATGCTTCTACATTTTGCATCCGTGGGCCTTTGTTGGTGGGACAGAAATACTTTGGGCTGCATTAATAATGTGTTTTGAAGATTAATGAAAGCCTAATGGCTTTGGAAATTGGAACAACATGAGCGTAAGTAAAGGGATAATTATCATTTCGGGATGAACTGTCCCTTCCATAACACGACGTGTTAAAGAAACAGTTCTCCCCAAAATGAAAACATCAGTCATTTTATGGTTAAATCATAGTGTAAGAGCTCCTTTTGTGTTTTACAGAAGAACGAACATATTTGGAATAACATGGGAGTAAGTAAAGGACAACAGTTTTTTCAGTTTATATAGATTATAAGCCTTTTAAAGATCAAACGTGAAGCCATTTATCACAAAAGGACAACAGAGTAGTCCTTCCACACATAAAAGCTTGCTCAGAATAAGATTAATGGCCACAGATATTGTCCTTTTAAAACAGTATGCACACTTGGACGTTTGTGCCTCTAGAACTCATGCACGTGTGACTGAAAATGACCTCTCATTAACATTCTTCATCCTTGTCTTGTGTTGGGACATCATTTGTTTGACCAGCAGCACAGAGATCCAGTGTTTTTCTGAAATTTCCGCTCAATTAATTCCTATCATAGGTCTTTTTGTAAGCAATCGCTCATTAGATCTGACATGACGAGGAGCTGTAAGCCGAAGCCATCAGTTTCATTCAGCAACCCAACCTGCAGCAGACGAACCTGTTCGGTTTCTAAAACAAGTCTGAAATATTCCAGACATCTCTGCAATTCTCCTGATTCTGTTACGGATTCTCAGGAGCGTCACATGTTGTGACCCAGCACTCCTAGAGTCCCGCTTTAAATGACTATGAGGGATTTCCAAACCAAATGACCCATTTAAACAGAAAATAGAACTAAAACACCCAAGGCACCCTCATTATTGTCCGTTTGCTTGTCATATTTCCATATTTATGTCAGGTCTGAAACTTTTGAATTAAGATTTTTCAGTGATCATACTTATTAATGTATAGGAGAAATATTGAAGTCATTTATTTGATTCGAATGTCACAATATTAAACTTGGCTTTGTATTAGGTCAAGTCTGTTGGTTTAAAATGCCATTTTTAATTGAGAATAAGTGTTATACATAAGCACAAAGTCAAAAAAATTAAAAAGGAAAAAGATAAATGAAACATGTTTTGAGTTGTGTAATAGTCGTGTTAGGTGCTATTCTTTAAAGACCCAATAAATTGTGGCATTTATTGGCAGGCTCAATATTAAAGAACAGATTAAGCAGGAAATAAAAAATACTGATTTGAACGAAAAATTAACAAAAATGACTACAGATCGCTCTCTAATGTAAAGAAACAACATATGCTAAAGAAACACAAAATCACAGGTGCACATAATAATAGAGCCATCAAACACAAAAGCAGCAGTGGTTTTCTACTCTGGAGCAGAATGGGGCTCCTGTGGGATTTGCTCTCCTGAGGGCTGTCAAAACTGATGTCATTTCAATTGTGGTCATTTATAATGTCTTAAGCCACCACGCAGAGACCCTCACCCCTCCCAAACTGCCTCCTGACAGTGAGGCCATCTGTCCGGCCACAGAGCGCCTGTCCCGCACCACAGGACAGTGGGACGGTTCCTGTCTAACGCAATGCTTTCCGCAACCTACACTCTTTGCCAGTAATACGCACAGTCAGGGGTTCAGAGGAAAGGCCAGATTTTTGTTTCCAAGGATGACATGATTTCCAAAATCACAATCCAGCACACACCATCCTGCTGAGTTATACTCTACAAACATGTGATATACCCTCAAAGATTAGGGGATGAGATCTGTGCTACCATTGAGTTATCTGACCTGCTTGTAAGTAGTGTCCATATAGTTATATTTACAGTCAGCTTCATGC